AAGCAAGGAAGAGATTGGTAGCAGCTACATTTTTGTCAGTGTTGGATTATTGTGATATCATATACATGCAGGCACCTAAGCATTGTTTACAGGCGTTGGATTCAGTTTATCATGGAGCATTAAGGTTCATCACAAATTCAAAAGTCCTTACTCATCGTTTATTGTACTCTCGGGTTGAATGGCCAGTGTTGTCATCCCGTAGACTTAAGCATTGGTACTTATTTATTTACTTTTATTGGTGTTCCTGTGGCTCAGTGATAGAGCATTGCGTTAGCAGCGCAAAAGGTTGTGGGTTCAATTCCCAGGGAACACACATACTGGTAAAAAATGTAAAATAATTTTAGGTTTACTTCCTTCCTTTACAGCAGAATATTTTTCAAAAAGGTGTAAAGAATTATGGGCTTCGCTCACAAGACTATTATCTTTTAAGCATCCCTAAAGTTCGTACTAATATGGGTCAACAACGGGCATTTAGTTTTGCTGTATGCTGCTCTTGGAATCAACTACAAGATAAGTTATGCTTAAAAGAGTTGGTATCACTAAATGATTTTAAATTTTAAATAAAGGATCTAATTGTAGAGTCACCTGATTGTAAATGTTTTGAGTGATTTGTGTATGTTTCTGTGTATGTAAACGAATGTATTTTGTTTTATGTGTAACTAAATGTGCTGCCTATCTTGGCCAGGACCCTCTTGTAAATGAGATTTTAAATCTCAAGAGTTTTTAATTTCCTGGGTAAATAAATAAATAAATAAATAATAAAATTTCAGATAGCTGCCAAAGCAACACTTCCCGTTATCATTTAGCTTAACTTGATGTACTAAAAGTACTAAAACATAAAATAATATAAACTATATAGACATATTGTTGAAATATTTTTTTTGTAAAACATATTGAACATATTGTATAAAATAACAAAATTACTAAAAATGCTAAATTAGATCGGCACTGATAGCCTTGTTTACAGTGCGCCGACGCGGTTTGGGCTTCCCGAGTTCGAGTCCTGGCTCGCGGCTCTTTCCCCATCCCATCTCCCTCTCTCTCCCACTTTCCTGTCTACATGCTCTCTCAATAAAGACAAAAACACCCCCCCCCCCC